GCAAATATGAACACAAATACCTACATCTGGTAACATATAGATACACATACTGATACAAGTAAAATATCCAAATTAGTATTCGAATATATACCGATTAAACAACTGAAATCGTTTGGACTATTAATTAAATTTGAGATCTTATTTGTTTTAGTCGTATCTGTTTTGTATACATATTTATTTTCTCTTATTTGGTATGAACCCGTATTCAATTTCTGACAGATATGGATGTTAGTTCTCTTTACCAGCATATCTATAACTAATTATAACTTATAATTCGAAATTCATCCATACTTGTATCGGGTAAAACCGTTATCTAGTTAGCAACTCATAAAGCATAAACCACCACAGTGTAAAACCAATATAGAGTAGTTATAGCATAGAAAATGAAAAATAAATTTGTACTATCCATCTCGGTTAGCGCAGGTGGTCTGCAGATGTAGTGGTAATACTGCGACATCCCTCTCCCCCGGTGCCCGATTGGATCTTGTCTTCCTAATCTGTAGTGTTGCAATGGAAGGTGGAACCGACATACCTGGGATTTACTTGGTAGGGGCAGGGGATCGAACTTGGGTTTCGGTTTGGGGATCCTCATGCATTGCCAAGGTTTCCTTGTACAAAAAAAAGGTGTTGCAATTCTGCAAACCAACGGTAACAACTTTTTCAGTATATTACAGAGTATAATTAGAAGGATTTAGCCAGACAGATTTTTTTAAAATTAGCAAACAGGTGAAACTCAAAAGTTGGGTGTTACACCGATTGTAAAATATAATCTTTGGTGTTACAACCATTGACCCATTTAGATAAAACAGTAGTTATGAGATTTATTGCCAATTGTTAAATATAATCTTGGGTGTTACAACAATTTTGATTAAAAAAACGTAGTTACGGAATTTATTATCGATTGTGAAACATAATACTGGGTGTTACACCCATTATTATATATATATAGAGATTAATGGGTATCCTTGTCATAGGAGGGGATTTCCTCCTTGACGCCTCTAAAATCACATGATTGAGCGACATTGTGGATGATCCGCTCCGTTGAACTTGATCTACATATTCTAAAACTCCAACACACCAAGTTTGGGGTGAATCCGTCGTCGTTTGACCCTTTATCGAGCCATGTGAAAAGTTCTATTCATTCAAAACCGTTAAAATTGATACGAGTGGATGAAGGGTCAAACGACGACGGGTTCACCCAAAACTTGGTGTGTTGGGGTTTTAGAATATGTAGATCAAGTTCAACGGAGCGGATCATCCACAATGTCGCTCAATCATATGATTTTAGAGGCGTCAAGGAGGAAATCCCCTCCTATGACAAGGATACCCATTAATCTCTCTCTCTCTATATATATATTTATGGGATTTAATACCGCTTGTAAAATATTATCCAAGGAATATTTGCAATTTTAGCACCTAAAGGTTTATACCTTTAACTTTGATGTCTCAAAGTTTTTCCCCCCTAACGTTTTGATATCTGTTTATACCTTTTTAACTTTGATAAATTAAAGTTTTGTTTTTGACACTTTCATTCTAAAAGTTAGGGTATCAAAGTTTAAAAAGAGTAAACTTTAAATTATCAATGTTAAAGAGGTGTAAAATTTTAGGATCTCAAAGTTAAAAGATGTGTAAAATCTAAACTTTTGTGTCAAACCCCGCGACCCAATTATGCATGGATAGGCACATGACAAGTCACCGGTGCATTTATTGGTACTCTAAAATTTCCAATAAATACACGTAAGCCTTTGTACTAATTGTTTCTATTGTTTTTGTTACTTCTAACTATTCTTTTAAAGATTATATTTTGTCATAGTTCAAAATATTTAATTTAAAGATTGAGCAGAATTGAGTTTTGAAGCCGAATGTATAAAACATGAAAATATTTTAATTAACTATCATGTGATGTATGACCATGTCCAAAGTAATAAACCACGACGGGTTCACCCCAAATTTGGTGTGTTGCGGTTTTAGAATATGTAGATCAAGTTCAACGGAGCGGATCATCCACAATGTAGCTCAATCAAGTGATCATCAATGACTAAGAAACTTAGTGGACGTCCACTTAAGTTGACATAAGTTTCTCTCTCTCTCTCTCTCTCTCTCTCTATAATATATATATATATAATATATACTATATATAATAATATATATATTGTGTGTGTGTGTGTGTGTGGTGTGGGGGGGGGAGTGTGCGGTGTGGGGGGGGTGTGGGTGTGGGGGGGGGTGTGGGGTGTGGGGTGTGTGGTGTGGGGGGGGGGGGGGTAAAGCCTGTTGAACTTAAGTGGATCGAAACTTATACATTAACTTTTTTATCCATCAAATTTGCTTTGAGATTTATGTAAGACATGAAGGGTATTTTTGAGATGTGTGTATTGATTTGTATCACATGAGAGCACATATCTCAAAGCAAATTCAGTGGAAAAAAGTTGGTGGACAAATGTTTCTATCCACCTAAGTTTGTAGGAGCTTTACTATATACCTATCAGGGATCATAGAGTTATCAGCAACGCCAGGCAAAAACGAAAACATAGTGATTGTCAAAGCAACTCCCAGTTTGTTTTGTGCGATGACTGTCACCATTTAGTTTTAAATAAACAGTAAACTACCCGCCTCTGCTTGACAATCTAGACCCCTCTTCCATGTCCGCCCCCCCTAAACCCCTACTTCCTCCTCCGCCCCCACCCTTAGGAGAGGGTTTTTTTCCACCGTCTCCCTCCTCCAAAGCTAACCTAGACCCAATAAACCCTCAGATCGCTCCTCAAACCGTCTCCTGCAGCCACCAGATCCATCCCTCCCGCCTCAGATCCAGCCCGCCGCGCTCATGCTCCAGATCCCGCCGCAGTTCAGCCACTTATAACACCTCTTCCTCAACCCGCCTCTGCTTGCTCAGCCCCTAAACCCTCAGATCCTCCCCTCAACCCGCCTCTGCTTGCTGCGGGCTTTGTTCCATCTGCAATGCCTCATCAGCAAGCTGCGGGTACAGTTCCTCCGTCAGTATTAGCTCCCAGCAGCTCTCTTCACACCCCCCGGCCACCTCCTCCTCAGAAGCAGTCCTATGCCCAAGCCGCTAAGGGTGCTCAAGGCAATGGGTTTGTGTCAGCCCATGCTTGCGAGATCGACTCGTTTGCTCGACTCCCTCCAACAGGCATTAATATCATCAGCGGTTCTCGTGACGATATGCCCTCTTTTTCTTTCATCTCCTCAGGCCTCCCAAAAATTGAGAATGTGTATGCCAATGCATTAGTGATGAAGTTCTTTGGT